ATGCGTGATGTGAAAGAAAACTGCGAGAAAAACATGGCCGCGCAAAATCCTGGGTGTGAGGAGCGCGTGAAAGGAGGGACTACCACCTAAGCCAGGGAGTTTGACCTTTCACGGCCGAGTGATTTTTTGGTGTAGGATTTCTCATCTTGACGTTCTCTTATTATCACCTGCTGTCAATAACCGGGGAAATATCCTGAATAAAATTGCTCAACTCTACTCTTCAGGTAGTGAGGCAAAAACATGTTGCGAGAAGTATATCTTTGTTCAGTGTTTGTTCAGTGAAACTGCCATAGAAGTTTTAAAAAGAAGATGGTGAAAATTTCAAATGCAAAGTTTCAACCGAGAATTTACGTTAGGTAATTGACATAGGAGATCATCCAACTGTGGTGAAACACTTGCTGATAGCAGCAGAAAGTTTGAGGTGAATGTCTGGTTTCAGTGAAAGTTTCGTTCAATCTTTCAAATGGACGGCAGAAAGGCCAAGCGCAGTGAATTCATCATATTCACTGAATTGTTCTTGGACGATTTTGTTGAGCAGCAAAATCACCAACACCCTCGCAATCAGGTTGCTTTGCCAAACAAAACAGAGTTGCAAGAACATCATGGCTTGCGGAGTGCGATTCCAATGCTTTGATTTGCTCCAGTTCCATAACATTCCTGCAAGATGTCACACATTTCTCGAATGTTGACAATGCGTTGTCAACGCTCCTAACATAAGCCAATCATGTTCTTGTGTTGTGAGAGAAACATGTAATTCAGACTCCTTGGCTTAGGCGGTAGTCCCTCCTTTCTTGCACTCCTAGCCCCCAGGATTTCATGTGGCCATTTTTTTCTTGCGGTTTTCTTTAACATCATGCACAACGGACTAAGTGAAAGAGGGACTACTCGTAGTCTAATCACAAGTGAATGTTTTCTATATATTTCAAGAGGTCTCAAATCAGAATGTTTTATGGCAATAACAAAATAATGGCTTCGGCCTCCTTTTTTATGTTTTATGATAATATATAGCTTAGACATACACAATCAATCAAACACAGTTTTCTATGCTAAAGTCTCTAATAAAACAGCTTCTTAGTAAATCAGAGCACATGCCCACACAATATCAAAACAAACTGCATCACAATAATTAAATATTTAACTTAATATATAATTTAAGACAGTTAATTATTTTAGACATGTATGTTATTATTGTTTGCAACTCTTATTTGTACATACCTCTCGTTCAAGCTGATTAATCTGTGACTCCAATGCAGCAATATGGCTATCCTAAAATGGCAGTAAAATGTCCCTCAAAATATTTCAAGAAACTTGACAAAATATTAATATTGGCTAGAGCTTCATATTCACAGTTGTCTGATCATCTGAGATGACTAAAAAGTCGTAATGACTACCAAAACAATATGAAAACTCGTCTGCTGGATGAGTTTAGTTTGACTCTACCAGAAAACACATTTCTTAAATTTTCTTATGAGTTCCCATCCCTCCATTCTGACCAATTTGTCATCCATTTGGAACTTTTAGAAAACAGAAAAAGATTTGCACCTTTCTTTTGCTAAAATAACCATTTTGGTCCATCACCTTACATGATGTGGTATTCTCCATGATTGAACAAAATCATTACTGGCTCAATTTTCATTTTGTCAGCTGCTGAAACAGATATTCTACAATGCACCTGCATCTATGAAAACAGATGGCTGAATGGCATCAGCTGTAAATTTCAACAGGATATGACATTTAGTAGGGGTATCGAATGGTCCCATTCAATTTAAAAGTGCTCGCAAAATTTGGCCTTTACTCAAACTGCTCGCAAAAATTAGATGAGTGCTCGCTTACTCATGCTTGCAAATTTTTGCAACTGCTTGCATGCTCAGATTCTGGGGTCTCCTAGCATTTAGCTTCTTCTAGTGGATAAAAACTTGCTTCAGATCTCCTTCAGCATCCACCCACCGACTCACGTGAAGTTATGCAGCGTAATTTGGCATCAAACAAGGCATAACTGGCTAGAAGCTGCTCAGATTGGTTGAACTGCAATAAGATCTTAACTTGTTACCTAGCTTTGCGCCTATCAATCCAGTTTTGGAGGTGTCAGCCAAATTACTTGACACAAAATGTTAAAGAGAGATTCTGAGTCCTACAAAGTGCTTGGTGCTTGCCATCTGTATTTTCTAATTAAAGTGCTTGCTGCTTGCATGACAAATTTGATCACTGCTTGCATGCTTGCAAATGTTCGCAAGACCATTTGATGCCCCTTTCAGTAATGTTAACACTTAGAAAAAACAAGCCAAATGCATGCAGGAAGAGCAAAAGCATTCCTTTCAGCCTTCATGACAGTCAAAGAGGGCTTGGTTTTTATTTATACCTGGATTTTCTGTATCCACCGACTGCTACAACTATGTACAAGACGTTTTGAGAGACTGGTCACGTGAAATAAAAAAGTATTTAATTTTCTATTTACATGTTGTTCAGTCCCTGTTCCTGCCTATTGAATGGCCAAGTAAAATGTTGACAGGACAAGTATGTCATCTGCATACTTGTCCGGCTGATGACTTGGAGAGAAAACCAAATATGGATCCCTGGAATTAGAAATCTGGATTGAGATTCAATATCAATTTTGCCAGAAGGAACCTCTTGTCAATGCCCCCAAAGTGCATAAAATGTATATATCCCACTTTTTCTACACCATAATCAAACTGATGGCTTAATGCACTGTATTCAAGAGGAAATACACAGTAACAATTATTGCTCTACTTCACAACACAAAAATGTTTTTTACCTTAGCCAGCAGGTTTGCAGATTGCTTTAATTCATCATTAACATTGTTGATTTTAACATGGTCTATTTCCTATAAAAACAAATTAAAAATGTAAATTTTTGCATTCAGTGGCACTACTCCATTCTTTAAAATAAAAAAAAATAATTCCCTTAGGAGTTAATTGACAAACATACATGTACTATTTAGTTAGCACAAAGTGATATTGAAGAATGATGTCTAATGTACATATACTGTACCTCTTGTAAGGATGCAATTGCTCTGTCTCTTTCGTCAATACCTTCTCGTAATTTGGCAAGTTGGTTGAGTGCTTCTGCCAGTTTCTTTTTGTCAGTACTATGTTGTTCTTTATGCATCTCAAGTTGTTTAGATTCAAGTCCTTTATTACTTTGTATCATTTCCATCAACTGGGCTATAGTTTCATCTTTGGCCTGGATAGCTTGCTGCTGTGCTTCCAGTCTAGAACTTAATTCCTCCAGTGACCTTTGAAGTATAAATGTTTCATTTTCTTGTCGATCTTTTTCAACTCTCAAGACCTCTAACTCATGCTGAAGTCCATCTTGTGAATGTCCAGACAGAGTGCTGGAAGAGGAGAGGGATGGATGACCAGTCGAGAGGCGATCTGTCTGTTCCTGTTGCCGCAACCGTTCTTGCAGATCTCTAATGCTTTCTGCTCTTTGCTATAGAAAACACCAACAAGAACATACTTTGTGAGAGTTGGTGTATGGTACTTGAAAAACCATTGGTCTTGCAAAATTTTGGTTGAATTTCACAGGTCCCACAGTCTCAGTTTTTCTTTCAGATATGTGTGTGTCACAGTCTCAATTTTTTACAGTTAAGATAGTCTTAGCTGACATCTGGTGTCTGAACATCTTGCACTTGCATTTAAAACACTTTGAAGTCTTGGTCTCGCAGATTAAAAATTTTAAATGTCTCAAGTGCACAAAGAAAAATCATTGCTATTCTCGCCTTCTTGCAAAGTCTTGCATTCTCCATTCCCCACCCTTATTACTGTACATACATGTAGTTCAAGAAGAGATTCTTACTCCCAGTAGAGAGAGGAGAATTTCACATACGTTGAAGCCTGCTCATCTTCATGGAATTTCTATTTTCTCAACCCCACCCCTATCCTCACCACACCAAAATGTGAAAAGGTATGATGTATTAACACTTGGCACCTCTACGTCTGTTCAGAAGTGTTTGTTAGTTGAGAACTTTTCATCAGTCGAGAACTGACACTAAATACTCTAGTCTTACCATCTCATTAAAATGTCTCAAAAACTCCTGCCTGATAAGTTGCGTAACTAGCTTTTGATGTTAAATGGAATAGTGAAATCTGGACCATTCCAAATTGTAACACAAAATGCTTTCATAGTCAGATGGCAGACCTCCCTTACACAGGACTTCGTCACAACTGGTTGCATATTTCTAAAGTATGGGTGGCAATTTGGAAAGTCCCAAAAGTGATTGTTTTTTTACTATGATAACAACCCTTCAGACATTAATATATCTGACATGGAAGAAACTACAAAAGATCTAAGTTTCCTTTTGTTAAATTGTCCAGTTGAGTAAATTGATGGCAATGAAGTGAACCACTGAAAGTAATGTAAGTTCTGATTTAGAAGTAACTTACAATAACATTCAATTGAGTACTTGTGTATAAATTGTAACATGATCGAGACCACCCTTTTACTACCTGAAATAAGCCAAATTTCTTGGGTTTCTATTCAGTGTGTGTGTTTTTTTAAAACATAGATCCAATTGCAAGAAAAGCACTCGAGGTCATAATAGTATATTGGGGCACAGAAGGTCATTGTTGTGTTTTGCCTCTTCGTGTATTGGTCCTCACAGGAATGAAACAATTAAATTGAAATGTTTGCCACTTGATGAATAAAGCAGGCAATTACGTGAAAAACGTTAAGCACAATCACAAAACAAGAAATGAGCCATTTCAAAATTCCACGTGCATGAACTTATCATTTGTACGAGAAGTGGATCAGTTTTCGGTCACTGAAGCGACTTGGGCAGTGCGATCTTTCAACCGTTCCACAGAAAGCTGCGAAATTACAATCTGCAGTGTATAATGACCTTTAAAAACTTTGCATTGTTCTCAGCACAATTTACTCTACTTACAGAGCAACAATATTCGCCACGCTCGATGAACACAGCTGTCGCAGGACTGAAACAATTACCTCGCATACGGAGTAATTTCAAAGCTTTTCATTGCTTTCGCGTTGAATAATAAATGATGCACACCATACCCCATTCTCTAACATTTCGGCACTATTCCATAACATGTTATTCGGGAAAAAATTCAAGTGCCAATAAATCGACCACTTTTCACGTTCGATACACGGACAAAACTCGGCGCAATGATGATATAAGCCTAACCTAAACACGACGAATTTATGTATGCAGTAAATTCTTCGCGGACTTCCGTTTATGATGAAGTCACACGTCCGCTCGCTCCGTTTGAACTTTATCCTCTCACAATCAATCATTTAGATACGAACCTTAACTAGGAAAATTACAACAGAATAAATGCAAAACCATTTAAAACACAAGCTTACCTGTGACTCTTCGGAAACAGCACTAAACTGCTCTCTTAACCTGGCGTATTTTTCCTCTTCAGCTTTTCTGGCCGCTCTTTCTTTCTTCAATTCAGGACTCCAAAACATTTTAATGCTTCTCATGCTAGAATTTAACTTCGTTTCTTTGGCATCAATTTCCTTCCTGAGACGTGCATTTTCTTGTTGTAACTCCGCCATTGTTTTGTCGCCAATGTTCAATGGCTCGCGAGGTGAACTTGGAGTGGGCGATGAAGCTCCGATTGAAGACTCGCTTGATGCAGGGCTTAACTTTGGGGAATGATTCAGCTCAGCGTTAAATGAATACATTCTGGACCAATTGATGATATATAAACCTTTTTCACCGTGCAATACTCCTGCTCCAAACGCAATCTCACAAGCGACTGAGTGAACTCATATCGATATTTAAAAGCTGCCGCATAAGTCAGAAAAATTTAGAACGTTCGTTCAACATAAACGACCAGTCATTTACACTCGCTATTTCAGACTATGCCTATAAATACCTTCCAATGATCCAGGAGGCCGAGGTAGCGATTAAAGCGACCAATTGTCAAATTAAAATATATAAGCCGTGACTGCAGTTTCCAATATCTACCCACCATCAATTTCGACGGTTCATTTCACTGCCGCGATCGATTGAAACGGCGAAAGTTCGATAAGAGAAGTTCAGCGCCTCTCCAGCGAGTAGATTTTCCAGAAAAAGTGTAGATAAACTGTCCTCGCTTCGACAAAAGAACAGAAATAAATGGCAAATATGCCAGGTTCGTAACCGACGATGGAGTTTTCGTCACTGTTCTAAGTGCCCACGGATCAGTAAACGCAAACAAATTTCCAGCGGAGTCGTTATACCAAATATGGATTGCGAAATTTGTTACTGTCACGCAAGCGCACTGAATGCGTTACTTCCTTCTCGTTCTTTCTGCGAAGTCTCAACCTAATTACAATTATCTTTTCTAAAGTTCTGTTATCGCCGAAAATCTCTCCATTCAGATGCGCTGAAAACGTACAGTTCTCTTTAGATACCCTCTGTTTCACCCAGCTTTCAAGATCTCAGAAATACGATGCCTGTTTATCTATCATTTCGGGGAAAATCCTGGAAAATGTCAAGTTTTCGGGCTACGTAAAATAAGGTCAGCTACTATTTTCGGAAAGACAGCAGCAGCTTTTTTTCATTTAGAGCAATGGGAATCCATTCCCTAAAGTTTACCATAGGGCAGAAGTCTGTCTAATTCGGCTTGTGTTCTGGCCAGTAGTGTTGCCAGAAGTATAGTAACGGTGCTTTTTGTTCAATTTATGTCAAAGAACCGGTTTCACCAGTTAGCTTCATTGCAACCCCTGGATTGTCCAGCTCCAAAATTTAAAAGACATTAGACAAAAAATACAAAAACAAAAATAATTAGAAATAAGTAATTATAATAATTTTAGATATATTTTAGATAATTTTCGTCAAGTCTCTACTATCATCAAAGGGAGCGATCACACAAGCTCAAAGTAAACAACCTGAACAACATTTTTTATCATGTGCTTGTCGTGCAAGCGCGAGCTCTGATCTCGTCAACTTTCTTCAAAACCCAGCTGGTCGAAATTCCATCGAAAGGCCACTACAGCTGGCAGTCAAAGTTGGAGAGAAAAATAAAACTCTCGTCTGGTCTGTCCTTGTAAGAAAACACCATTTGATATTCACTTACAAGCGCGTGAAGACCCGCAGGGATACACCCTTTTATGGGCCATAAAAGTATGTGCGGCCCCAAAGGACATGGTTTGTCAGCCGTTTTGGTCATAAATACGGTATCGATTTTAGCCATTTTGATCATAAATAGGGTCTGGTTTTTGCACCCTGGTCTTGAATTGGGAATGTTTTTTTTTTTAGAAAAAACTACTTTTTCATCATTATCGATAAGACCGATCAACAAAAGCCCTTCACGATGCCTTTAACATCGGTCTGAACTAGGGAACTAAATATAAGGCAGGTCTGAAACAGGGTATTGATTTAGGGTCAGGTCATAAATAGGGTATTGAAAATAGTAGAATTTGGTCATAAGTAGAGTAAGGGTTTTGGGAAGCGGGCCGCATACTCCCACTTAATGTGTCTCGGAATACCCCCAGCCCCCCCCCCCCCCCCCC